TGAATTAGTGTGGGCATATCTCGGCATTCTTCTCATTCTGACGCGCTTGAACCAGACAAGACAGCTATTTTACCCATTGGCGCCTGATTTACTTATTCTATTATTTACTTATATACTTACATACTATTTACTTATACCACACACATTGCACAATGTCACGTACATGTATCTACACAGGAGCGTTGGCATTGACATAAGGCTGCGAGAAAGAACTGATATGCACCAACTGCATTCAACTTTGAAGGCTGTTTTTCACGCAGGATGATTAGAAAATGGCTTCAAAAAGCTGTAGCTGCTGCAGCCAAGTAGCGAAAGGTAGACGGTTAGTGAAGGGATTATATTGTGAATCGAGATGAAAGGCTCTACAAAACAATCTTGCTTGTTCCATGGTAGTAAATAATTTCAATCAGTGGAATACTTTGGCAAACACTGGGATGGCTGAGAGAGGTGAAAGTAGCTATACTTGTGCTTGTACCACGACAAGTATATTTTCACTTCAAATATATCCTTACCTTTTCAAAGTAAAGGGATAGGCCGGGCGGGCTAGAACAAAATGGAATTGAGTAGCCTAAGATCCCTCTTGACCAAAAAGAAAACTGCATTTCTTCTCTCAAAAAATCGCTGCCGAAGTTAATGTACCTTGGTGCTAGCCGTTCTTTAAATGTGCCGATCGATCGAAGTGTAATGTCCGTAAAATGTATTTGCATTGGTGGCGATGTTTGAGTTTGTGAATCATTCCCCATTTTCCAAGGTGCCAATTTTGAAATCATGCTTTATTGCAATGGAGCCGTTTATCGAGGCACCTACATTCGTGCGTTGTATTAAGTGCGCATTGCAGTCTTATTCCCAACCTTGTATAGGAGCAGGTCTGTCATTCTTGCATATCTCAATAGTCGTATGTAATGGGCGCTACTAACGAATACAGTTATTTAACAGGACACTTATTTTATATACATACCACAGCCGCATGCCTCATAAAATAACCAGTAGAATGAACGGATAGATGTATCAATAATTCGGCTTGATGCATTTATCAAAACAAATCGCTTTACATGTTGTAAATGTCTTTATCGTTTCGATAAAGGCATGTAGCAGAAATATCAATGCATCCATCTGCCGACTATCTGGTTATTCTGCGAGGACTAAAGCCATTAGTGCTGTCATACTTATATGCATAATATGCTTCGCAAATGCACTTAGCAAATTACGATACTTTTTCTATTTTGAACGTAGTCACTCTTTTGGCGAAGAGGCTAGGTGTTCTTCAACACCTGATCAATGCGAAGACATAAGCCCACTGCCGGGCGGGGTCTGATCGCTCATTTAAGCAGAATATTCCTTTACATTTCGTAAGAGTTTAGCGAGCCACTTCGCGGCTGTCTCGCGGCTGAGGCCTCCATCCACGCTGTGATGTCCTAATGACGCGTAAACTTGTCACGACATGGCTTTGGGTGTACAAAATCATGCCTAACGGTGTAAGGTATCGGTAAATGTACGTCTTCTGATTAACACTGTCTTTTCTGCGTCCACCAGACCATAAACTGCGTCCACCATAAACTCCGTTAATAGAAATAAGTACTTCATAGAATCACTGGTTTCTACCTAGACTTGAACCCCGTTTTCATTATATATATATATATATATATATATATATATATATATATATATATATATTTCACCCTGATACTCTAGCCCAGCATGGAGCGTTCGCCTACCTCCAAATTTCAGAAAGGAAAACTGAACATATCTACGGCATTTGCTGGACTTGATAATTATGCTGATGATCGCAAAGGATTCAACATGCGCCAAATAGCTTTCCGAAAAGCGCACGTCAAGTGGTGAGCCCATTGCCACACCGTCGACTTGACGCTACAGGTTAGAGACGCAACTTTTTAGCCCGCTGAGGGTTAATGGCGGACCACCATTGTAGCATAGCGGGCTTTGGCGGGCCGGATCACCAGCTAGGCAGGGCGGGCCGGGCTGCAGACTGATATTTGGGAAAAAGTTGCGCCTCTCGTACAGATGTTCTTGAGGGCAATAGAGAGGCATATCCTTGGTGCAGGTTTCAAATATGTCTGATGGACCTTTTCCGGGAAGGTGTAAAGCCGGTTGAAATCACGTTCATAGATATTTTACAAAGTGATCTTGATCGTTGCATCAACGGGTACACTGTGAGTAACCAGTGACTTAGCAATAAAAACTAACAGTAAACACTAACATATTTGTCCATGGAGGCTAAATATCCTGTCTATCCCTTACCGCAAGTACCTGTGCGAATCGAAAAACTGCCAGGTCATTCAGGATGAAGGACCTGACGTTCAACAATATAGGCCCAATCGTATAATCGCCCTTTCAAATCATGGTAGAAGGATTTTGAAGAGGCCTAGAAAACCTTGGCAAAAAGCACATAAACATTAGTTATGCTGCCATATTAGCCGAGACGTATATATATATATATATATATATATATATATATAAGCATATGGCTGTAATATGGCGATGCGGTGATGTAGATACAGTCATGGTGGCATGATGATTGTGGTGTAAGAGTGGTGCTGTAACGGTGGTGATGATTACCATGATATTCGATTTTCACAACCAACATCAATAAACCGGAAAGTTTGAACAGTTGCCCGGAAGCCTTACCGGTGTGTTTTGCACCACAAGGTCTATAAATATGTTTGTGTTAGCAAGCCGTGACTGGAGTTCATGACCTTCACGGAACGCTTTATGCCCATCCGTTCTTAATGTACGATGGAGGGGGGGGGGGGGGGGAGTGGGACGTATTGCTCCATTGCGTCGTCTGCGGCGGGGGGACATTTCTGTGACAGTTCTACAAAGCCATCAGAGTAATCCTTCTCGACATTCTAAAAACAGCTTACGAAAGCTGGTTTAAGGCTGGCTTGATATCAGCACGCCATTTGCCCCGGCAGCCTCCAGCCATTCGCCTGGCAGTGCCCCGCGGTTCTGCACGGCCGATATGGCCGGAGCTGGGGTCACGTGCTGTGTTCTGGAAGGCCGGGGTCACGTGCTGTGTTCTGGAAGGCCGGGGTCACGTGCTGTGATCTGGAAGGCCGGGGTCACGTGCTGTGTTCTGGAAGGCCGGGGTCACGTGCTGTGTTCTGGAAGGCCGGGGTCACGTGCTGTGTTCTGGAAGGCCGGGACGATATGAGCTGGCACGAAGTCTGTCCTCAAATTTTGCAGTCTCTCATGTTGGTGACGTGGTAAGATCAAGACTGGTCGCGGCTGGCCGGGTAATGGGTCATCGCTGGGTCTGAAGGACGCCTGAAGTCGGCTGGCTGATCCGGTACCGGGAATAGGCGACTAGCCGATTCTACAACCGGCTAAAGGCTAGTGACTTATGCAGGGTACAAGCCATTTTCCTAAGATCTTGACAAATTTCCCAAGGTCTTACGGGCTTTGAGAAATGTTCGTAGGTCTTTGGAAAAGTATGATTTTCGAATTGTTTTCCAACATGGTAGGTACATCTTGGAAAATCGGCCATCACAAATCATACCACTTATGATTCTCCCAAATACAAACAGGGTATGATGTGTTACATGTGGCTTGAAATATCTAGTAAAAAACAGCTCATGTCATAAGTCAATTGCATAAAGAAATCTTAGACCGCAGCCAAATGTTTAATTGAGAGGCCGTTTATCTACCCCAAATCCACGGTTAAAACTGCCGGCGAACAGTTTTCAACAGCTCCCCAACCTTGACCTGGCGGCTAGCCGAGCCGGCCAGGCGCCTCTGGCGGCTAGCCGAGCCGGCCAGGCGCCTCTGGCGGCTAGCCGAGCCGGCCAGGCGCCTCTGGCGGCTAGCCGAGCCGGCCATGGCGCCCTGGCGGCTAGCCCGAGGCAGGCGCCTCTGGCGGCTAGCCGAGCCGGCCAGGCGCCTCTGGCGGCTAGCCGAGCCGGCCAGGCGCCTCTGGCGGCTAGCCGAGCCGGCCAGGCGCCCCTGGCAGCTAGCCGAGCCGGCCAGGCGCCCCTGGCAGCTAGCCGAGCCGGCCAGGCGCCCCTGGCAGCTAGCCGAGCCGGCCAGACGCTCCTGGTGGCTAGCCGAGCCGGCCAGGCGTCCCTGGCGACTAGCCGAGCCGGCCAGGCGTCCCTGGCGACTAGCCGAGCCGGCCAGGCGTCCCTGGCGACTAGCCGATTGATCGGCGGCTAGACGGCTAGCTGGAAACCAAACTTGATTAGATAGAGTTTGATGGTAACGCATGGTACCGAGAATGAGATGTGATCTTGCTGCGTCGTCAACGAGCTACAAATTTTACGTCCCAGTAAAGAGCAATGTAAAAGATAGCGTTGGTTAACCAGCCGGGCTTCGACGACGGCATTCCGATCATACAATTGCTGAGAATTAGAAAGCGTGGCAAAATATTTACATTTCTAGGAAATCACAGAACATTTTGTTGATAACAAAGTCGTTTAAATGGACATCCGTGAAATCTGAAGCCCCGCAAGTGGAGAAATGGGTGTCATATTAGATTTTAAAAATAATCTTATAATACCTGTCGAAATTGCACTGCCGACATCGTCCGAGAGGCTAGTCGAGGGAATGGCTTCAATTTAGCCGTTCGTTCGTAGCATTTTGATGGCGGCAACTGAAGGTTAAAGGAAACTTTGAAATATGTGCAAATACAAGCTCTCAGTAATACCACATCTTGAAAATGTACATAAAAAGACATACAATTACCAAGCGTTACTAATATGCGACAATATTTGTAATTTAAGATTATATGAACAAAATTGATTTTTGAAATGTGGATCAATACATTATTATCCTTGCTTCATGCCACATGTCCCAAAGGTGTAAATCGTCGATGTGCCTCGTTTATTCTAAGCTGGGCGCCTCATCCCCGATCCCGAGCTACGCCGGCCTCGAGCTGGAAGCTCCGATCGTGATCCTGCCAACCACATGTGGGCAAGGCTCTCCACCCCGCTTAGATTCCGCGCAACCCACGCCATCCAAGGACGCTTGAAGCGGACTGGTCAGGCTCAGAGCGCGTGCTGGAGTCCCTGCCGACCCTCGAGTTACTGGGTATGGGTCCCAGGCCCGAGATGCACTGGCCTGGAATTGGAGCACGTACTGTTGTTCTTGCCGGCCTGCAGATAACTGACCCCTCGCCCCCCACCACCCACCCCTCCTCGTGATCCAGAGACGGACTGACCTGGAGTTGAAACGTCGCCTGCTGTTGTCCTTGCCGGCCTGCAGATGGCTCTCCCCCCACAAGTCGGGCTCCCCCCCCAAGTCGGGATCCACGGACAGACTGACCTGGAGTTAGAACGCCTGCTGTTGTTCTTGCCGGCCTGCAGATGGCTGAGGTCGCGCTGCCGCTGCTCCGTCTCCAGCCAGATGCGGTAGTAGAGCCCGCACATGATGAGCACGGGCAGGTAGAAGGCGGCAATGGCCGTGCCGAACGTCCAGTAGTGGTTCGTCTCCAGGAACTGGATGTAGCACTCGTGCGGCTCCACGGTGCGCTGACCCTCGATGTATGGCCAGGCGTAGATCCAGGGCGGCCAGAGGACGAGCGAGACGCCCCAGGCGCTGGCAATCATGGCCGCCGCGCGCCGGTTGGTGCGCCGCGCTCGGTACGTCAGCGGCCGCGTCACAGAGAAGTAGCGGTCGAAGCTGATTATGAGCAGGTTGAGCACGGAAGCGTTGGAGGCGAGGTAGTCGAGCGCCAGCCACGTGTCGCAGACGACCGGGCCCATCACCCAGCGGCCCATCACCAGGTACACGGTGTAGAGCGGCATCGAGATCAGGCCGATGGCGAAGTCGGCCACGGCCAGGCTGAAGAGGAAGTAGTTGCTGATGGTCTGCAGCTGCTTGTCGATGTGGAAGGACACCATCACCATGATGTTGCCGACGACGGTGATGGCGATGAGCACGCCGGCCACGAACACGATCAGCACCGTCTGCGTGGCCGAGTAGATGGCGCTCAGCTCGGAGTCGGTGCCGTTGGTGAGGGAGCTCCTGTTGACGGTGTCGGCCGTGACCAGTGCCGTGACGGTGGTGCCCACTGACCACGGCACGCTGCTGTCCTCCATCTCAACCCGCTGAATCTGCGGAAGAGCGCGGCGACGTCAGTCGTGATTGTCGCCGAAGTTATCAGTGTGAGCAGCACTGAGTGCGACACGATCTGAAGAGGAGAACAGGAAGGCTGGTCGCGGGTTTGCCGCACGCACGGCGTAACTGGTCCCCCTCTCTCTCTCTCTCCTCTCTCTCTCTCTCTCTCTCTCTCTCTCTCTCTCTCCTCTCTCTCTCTCTCTCTTCTCTCTCTCTCTCTCTCTCTCTCTCTCTCTCTCTCTCTCTCTCTCTCTCTCTCTCTCGCACTCGAATGACGGACCTGAACGCGACATATTACAGTCTGCTGCCTCATCCCAGGCAGCACGCACGCTCCGCTGTCACCACGGAGCCACGGGGGAAATCAGCTAGAAGGTCAAAAATATTCGCGTAAGGAGCGTTGCCTTCGAATACACTGCGATGCTCAAATGCGGTTAGTTCATTATTTTATTTTCCGGTCGCTTTAGAAGTTCAGGGCTGCTCACACCGATGGTGTCAACCTCTGGCTGTCCATCGGAGAAGGCAATAGGGTGAACGTCACATGAAACTTGATTAGAATAAGTTCTTTTAGCGTGGCTTAAACACCTGCAACTTGCTTTACGGGTGTAAAGTGCACGTCGTACCATGCATGAGCGTCTCATTGGACAGCACGGAAATTTTAAAGGATCTTCCTTGAACAGATCGTCTTATGAGCCTCTTAAGACCTATCAGATGCTGTCAAGAAGCCGTTTGCCAGTCAAGAAACATATTTCTACGGTGCCTGTGAGTTAATATGGAAGAACGTGGTGACGTAAGTCTTTTAGTTAGAGCGCTCACCCATGGCTTTCCGTTTCGTGTGTTTGAGACTGATTACCAGCCTCATGATGAGCCATTCCACTCACACCGCCGCTAGAGAACCTGGTGTCAATTTCCACACATGCTAAGGACGCCGGAGAAAGGAAGTTCGGTTGATGCAATCAATGGTATCATGCTCACAAAAAACGAACTGCAAGTGGTAACCGATCGCACGTTCAACGAAATGTGTGGCAATGAGAAAGCTGAAACCGCTGCCTGAAACGAAACGGCCATGTTTTTTTTTTAGAACGCCGGGGGCTTTTTCTGGCAAGTATCGTGCAGAGCCGAACGTTTCCAAGCAAGTTCAGTGCAAAGGGCTGAGTGTTTGCAGGCAGGCACAGTACAAAGAGTCGAGCGTTTGCGGGCAAATACATTACACAGAATCGGGCGCTTGCAGGTAAATACATTACAGAGAGCCGAGAGCTTGCAGGCAAATGCAGACGTGTCAAGCACTTCACAATGGGGCCTGCGTGCGAACTGGTTTTACCACTGGGAGCGGCCGTCAGCCTCCCATCCTCGGAGCGCCACGGCAGTCCGATCTCCCCGGGGCACGCTCGCCGCGCCCCCGCCACCCCGTGACGCAACAGCGCCAGTCCGGGCCCGGCGACGGCGATTATCTGACAGATGACCCGGCTGAGGGTCCGCCGGCCAGCCGGAGACAGACCGCGGCGGTCGGGAGGCACGGCGGGTCGTCAGCGAACGAGAAGTCGACAGATGGGCCGCCGCGACCGCGGATGACCGGGTAGGATCGATCGGTCGACAAACTGGAGCCGGGGATGGTCTGCGGGCTTGCCGCCAGGCGCAGGGAGATAAGCCAGGCATCCGGCCCGGCCAGCAGGCAGGAGGAGGGTAATCCGGGCTGCCCGGCTCAGCCAGCAGGCAGGAGGAAGGTAATCCGGGCGCCCGGCCCAGCCAGCAGGCAGGAGGAGGGTAATCTGGGCGCCCGGCCCAGCCAGCAGGCAGGAGGAGGGTAATCCGGGCGCCCGGCTCAGCGCGGAGGCAGAAGGAGGGTAATCTGTGCGCCCGGCTCAGCGCGGAGACAGAAGGAGGGTAAGCTAGGCGCCCGGCCCAGCCAGCAGGCAGGAGGAGGGTGATCCGGGCGCCCGGCTCAGCCCGGAGGCAGGAGGAGGGTAATCCGGGCGCCCGGCTCAGCGCGGAGGCAGAAGGAGGGTAAGCTAGGCGCCCGGCCCAGCCAGCAGGCAGGAGGAGGGTAATCCGGGCGCCCGGCTCAGCCCGGAGGCAGAAGGAGGGTAAGCTAGGCGCCCGGCCCGGCCAGCGGGCAGCAGGAGCATAAGCCAGGCACCAGGCCCAGCCAGCAGGCAGAAGAAGGGTAAGCCAGGCGCCCGGCCTGGCCAGCAGGGATGCAGGACGGTATGCCAGGCGCCCGGCACAGCGAGCGGGTATGCCAGGCGCCCGGCATAGCCAGCAGGTATGCCAGGCACCAGACCCAGCCAGCGGGCAGCAGGAGCATAAGCCAGGCACCAGGCCCAGCCAGCAGGCAGAAGGAGGGTAAGCCAGGCACAGGCCACCGTTGTCCAGATATCAGATCTGGCCGCGAGCCTAAATTACACTGGACGGCGTCATGAAACGGCAAGTGCGGTGATTTTTGGCTTCTTATGGTTACTCTCATGTGATATTCACCGCTTTATGAGGGTGTTGCGTTTA